TTAATGAAACACATGAACAATATTATATTATTATATTTATAATTATATTATATTATAAATAACTAATAACACTTAATGCATAACATTACATGACATCATAACAAAAATTACATCAAGTTACGAGGTCACATTTTATTTTTTAAAATTGTATTTTTCTACTGAAGGCATTTTATGAATAATATTTGAGTTCTTAAATAAAAAATTATAAAATTTTTTATATGTTAGTTGAAAATTATATTTTACACTTATTATTTTCATTTATTATGTCACATTTATTATTTTCATTCTTAAAAGAGGGATAATTCATAATCATGTCCTTAATTTAGAACAAAATTTAGGACACGTTGTAAAGTGAAATAAAGAATTAAAATTTAGGACTGTCTCTCCTAATTTGGGACGATTGGTCATCTTGAAGTAAGGATTATTTAATAATTTTTATATACTTATAAATTAAGTGATAAAAATCGATTTAAAATTAAATGACTTATCGTAACAAATAACCGGAAAATTATTGTATGTACTAAGAATTAAACAACTCTTTTATGCATGGAAAGAACGATTTTACTGATATACTGAAAAATTTAACTAGATATAAATCTGAAACTAATTTTATGAATCATCAAAATAGTTATGTAGGTCACTCAAGTTGATTGCTAAAATGTCAATACTTTTTGCAGCATTGTTTCATGCTTGAATTTTTTACATAATTATTTTGATGATTCAACAAAATTATTTTCAGATCTGTATCTCTATTTAAACTTTCAGATACTTCAACAAAATCATTCTTTATATATATGAAAAGTTCAACTTTCACAACGTCTTTCTCAATTATTTTGATATCTAACTCTTTTGTTCCTTTTCAGCAAGAACGGATACGTATGCGTCATGTTCCACAGAAGGGACGAACACGTAATAGAGATGCAACTGTCGGAATGGGGCCAGCAGCCCGACGACATATGCAACTCGAGCACGTTCAACTCGCACACGATGCCGTACACGACGTTCATCAGTAAGTAAATTTTCCGATCTCCTAATCGAATTACGCATTGTCGTTGCAATATCACGTCGCAGCAGTAAAGTAACTAATTGGGCTTTAATGCGGGGTGTCAACTTTCCCGAGCCCGGCGAATGTAATATACGCAAATTTGATTACGCTTAACAGTGCTCAGTTGACGGATCGTGTTATATGTTTGTTCCTGCAGTTTCAATTAACGCAGTTAAACGCGGCCGGTCCCGCCATTAATGCATCCCGGCATTTTTGCTTTGTCGATATTACAACCGTAATTAATCGAAGGTAAATTAATTTGCCGATATTCCGATGAGGTGGCTCGCAAATTAACTTGCAGTTTCTTTTGGAACTTGTCAAAGAGCAGTCTTCCCTTCCTCCCCCCCCCCCTCTTCCTCCTCTCTCTTTCTTTTTAAAGCGAGTCAGCTGCATTTTATCACTCGATTAATATTCGCGGCTTCTTAATTTTCCATTCGCCTCGATGTCGCTTTCGCTTCGATGCGAACGGAAGCGCGATAAAGTGCGCGAAATAATATCGTATTCGAGCACTCCATGGACGTAAAATTTCTCCACTATTCGCGAAAGATCCATTACTGCAAAGGGCGTCGATATAATGGGATCGTGAAATAGTATACCCATTTCTTTTTCGCCGTAAGCCAAGATTAAGTAGATTGGAAATTCGGCCGCACTCCGCGTTGCGACCGGAAACCAGAATCAGAAACGTTTGCTCGAAGGTGATTTCCGGGTTTGCGTCGGCCTCCCAGCGCTTTGGTGCCAATTCGACTTCGATGGAACCCTCCGTTATTCTTCCGATTCATTGCCCGCGTCCCCTGGTTTGTCTTGATCTTATCGAGTTATTCTGACAGGAGATAAGCGAATCATGAGGAATCCGTGCGTAACAGAATGAAGACTCGATACATTTTGCCCAACAAAATGTTCACAAATGTTCTACCGTTACTTTAAATAGGCACCTGAAGCATGTATGAAGTAGGTATTAGCCCCTCGATGCCACTTTGAGTATAGCATATCCAGTTTCTTTTTTCAATTCTTTTTCAATACTTTTTCCACTGCTTACAATTTTTCTATTAATAAAGATATACATTTGCTTGATATATTTCTTAATATCTTCCGTTATATTTCTTAATATCTGGTTTTGATTAAAAACATTCTTTACAATATGTTTATTTTTGTGAAAAATATAGGTAATCGAATTGGGTTGGATGTACAATACGTAAGTGTGTCGTTTTCGTAATGTGGCACCGTAAGATTAGTTTTGCAGTACTGATGCACTTATTCGCGCTGGATTTCTCATCTGGAAAATTATATCTTACCGGTGAAAATATATCACATTGTACTCTTTGCAACCGTGTACGTATATTATATGTATATCGTATATCAGATCTACTTGAAGTATTCGAATAAAATGTGATTCGTGGTCTAATAAAAGAGCGCCCTGTTTAGCTTCTAAAGCCAATTCTAGACATCCGTGAGTCTAGCGACGTCGGAATATACGATGGTTTTACGAACGATTCACTCAAATACACACAATTCATACGGGCTCGTGATTTGTCTCGACCCTACGAGCTCTTTTCTACTCATATATGGATTCGCGTATATTTTGAGCAAACGCGTCCACGTATATAAAGCGTACCAAATTTCACGCATTTTGCTTCATACGCAGGTCCCTCGGTCAATTCGGAGCCGATTTTTCTCCCGCGGAAGCTTGATGAAAGTTCCAGTAAGCTTCCAACATTCGACTTTAAATACTTTTGTAACTAATCCTCAACCTAAGAGTCTTTTAAAGTGAAAAATTTATCTAAAATTAAACGAGGGACAAAGTTTTGTTATCTATTTTTGCCCCGAAGGCTGTTTCATGAAATTTCCTAGATTTTCAATGCCGTAGTTCAAGAATGATTGATGCCTCGACATTATTGCGAAGGATAAATCTACTCCAAATCTGTCCAAGAATCTGTACGTGAAAGGTACTTCGAAGGGGGTCTGTACCATGTACCCGGTGATGGAAAGTACCTATGTACTTGCGAGAGAAGCGCGCGGGCGCATTCGGCGAGAAGTTCGCGAATGGTGGAGTTTAACAATCAATTCGCGAAGCGCGGGTTTATGAGCGCATAAAGGATCATATGCCGGATCCATAAAGTCTCTCGTAGACTCGGCTCGCCTTTCAGTTTCTCCTTAGCCGATTCCAGCAATGTTGACGAAGCGGAGCCGTTCCACCGCGCTGTCGGTGTGGAATTTATCGCGCCGACATTCGCACTCGTCTTCTCTTTTGTGTGTCGCGGTACACTCTTAGATACACGCGCGCATTACCACCGAAGATTGCTCGGCTAAAAGTTATACCGTGTGAAAATAGCATTTCTCAATTTTTTTCAGCATGTAACTAGACTACGATATTAATGTCATTCTCATCTGTCACTTTAAAATACTAATTTCTACAAAGTATTGTACAATTTTGCTGAAATATCTAAAAATTTAGGTAGATGCAGATTGGAAAATAATTTTGTTGGCTCAACCAAAATAATTATGTAGAAAACTCGAGCATGAGCAATGCTGCGTTTTGACATTTTAGCAATTAGTTTTTCTATGCAATTATTGTGTAGGTCGACAAAATTATTTTCAGATCTGTATCGAGCCGTATCGAAATTTTTAAATATTTTAACGAATCCGTTCTTTCATGTATACTCCGTTTTATTTTCATATATACTCCGTTTTTATTAATTTCAAGACGTATTTTATTTAAATAAATATAATTTGATTTTTATTATGCATGCAGAATATCTCTCATCTTAATTTTAGCTCGTTTTCGTAACTTTAATACTTTTCAATCAAGGTTATTTAAATTTAAATAAACTTTCGAATGAATATTATACATTAGAAGACGTAATAAGAATAAACTGCACATTCCTATGTGAAGTTGTCATTATCGATTTAGAAAGCGTGAGATAGCTTGAATATATTATTCTTTCTCTCTCGCTAGCTGCGTCATCATTCTTTTTTTTTCTGCCATTTCAATTTATTGTTTTTATTTTTTCTTATTCCATATGTTATCATTGCTGTACTATCTTTATAATCTTAAACATTTTCTATTACTACTATTTTGTCTAATTATTTCACTCAAAAAAGTGATCTTGGAGTTATAGCGAAAATTATCTAAGTACAAAAAATAGCTAAAATAGATAAATTTCTAGCAAGTACTGCGATATTGGATATGTATTGCACCTAACCATATAGATGACAGAGATAGAATTTAGATTTGTGCTATAAATTCTATACGTATGATACATAATTTTCTATCAGATACAAAAAACAGCTATAATTCTAGCTGAAGCAGCAAAATATTTTTTTGCGTGTTTAGTTCTGTCTTACATAATTTTGTGTATTTCCGCATACTTTTGTTCTTCATGTATTATTTATGCTGTATTACTTTTGCTAAACTTTGCAGATTTTTGTATATTCTTTCCATTGTACTTTCTTTTTCTTTTCTTACTTTTATGTTAGAGGGCTTGCCCTAGAATAAAAATAAACGCTTTTATCTCTTTTTCTCAAGTATCAAATAGTAGAGAGATGCTGATTTCAATTCTTTTTAACAAACCATAGACGCTAATTGTAAGATCAGGAAATGCACAATCTATTATATCTATATAATATATGTGAGTAACGTTATATTAATTATTTAATTATTTAGTAAATATTTAAATGATGACATTATTTTGTAAACGCACTATGCCCTTATCTCTACTACTCAAGCGGAAAACTTATTGTCAGGTGGAAATGCTTATTACTATAAAATAATTTTCAAAGCTTTTAGTCCTGGCCGAAATAGTAATTAATGTAGTAAATATAATAAACAGTAGTAAAAAGATTCGAATATATAAAAACGAATCTTTCGCATAGAATTTCTTAAATGGATCGTCCCGAGAGATTCAACATTTTGATAGTAAACGTAATAAACAGCGACTTCTCACTTTGACGTAGATCGTGTTGCACTAATTTCCTATAAGAACAAAGTAGAACGCGTTCATCGTTACCGTGTGGAACGCGTCGACTGCGTGTCGATCGCATATCAAATTGCTCGGCTAAAAGTTACACTACAATGTAAGCAGCGATCCTCTGTCGCTTGTCGCCGGAGGATCGCGTGAAAGTTAATGGCTGTTTCTTCACACATGAGAAAAGGACAGTTTGTTTATAATTCCTTGCTCTATTTATACGTTATTTGATCAAATATTATCGAAATTAATAAAAAAATCGTACCAATTGAAATTGCTAGATCATGATTTAATTAAGATAATGATATCATATGAAATTAAGTGAGCTTTTCGTGTTTTCAGCATCCGATCCGATGACCAGACAATGCCCCAATCTCGGTCGCTACGAGATCGTGTCGTTGTTTCGGCCACCGAATGCCGACAACGTTGAAAGCGTATTGGCCGTCGACGGCGAGCAGAACGTTGCTAACGCAGCGGAGGTGCACGATGGGAGAGTGCCCTCGACAGCATTCCCAACCCAGTGCCATCACGGTAGTGTACGTAGATTGGACATCGGTTGCAGGACACCCGATCGTATGGAGTTCGCCACGTCTTGCAGCGACGAGGCGTTATCTGGTAAGGATTATCTTATCTGCTGTATATATACCGCTTTTCGCACGCGTTGTTACATTATATTTTATAATACTCCCTAGTATCTAGGAACGATAATGCACATAAAATTCAATGGGAAATAAAATTTTATTATTTATATGATTTTATTTGTGCACCACGAAGTATAACTCGACGAAATTCAATTTTTATTTGTCATATAATAACTACTATTTGAAGAAATAGTTAGGAATGTTTTTTCTATTCTAGAATTTATTTTCTCATAAGAAACTGATTTATACTATATTAGATAGACGTAGCCAGAATTTTGTTTAGAGGAGAGGAGGCCAAATTATATAGAGTTGAAATTTTTTAATCCGGGATAATCGAGTGATATGGATTATTAGATTTGTTTTGTTTTATATTGATAATATTCTTAATTAATTACTAGCAGATAAATAAAAAAATTACATATATTGAATTTATTGATTTATTTTATTTTTCTTTAAAAAATGTAAATCGATTCTTCGAACTGGAAAAACTTAAATTTACAACAATAGCCATCTTGGATTCTCAGAAAATTTGTGTATAACTACCTCCAATTTTTTCTTCTTTTCTAAAAATTTTTTGTGAATAATCATTAAACATAATCCCTTTAAACGGTTTTAATTATATTTATTTTATAAGATTTAGGGCCACAGTCCCCCTGCCCCTCTTTGACTCCGCCCATAATAGTTTGACCGCGATTTCTAGCGATTTATTTTCTACAATGGTATTTGTACGTTACGGAGAGTCTTTTCGTTCTCCTCGTGATTCACTTAACTAAAGGAAGTTAACCAAAGAGATGTCCGATAAGCGACGAGAAGATTTCACCCACGACAGACGAGCTTTGAAAGCGCTCGCAAACTTTGACGGATTCTCGACATGTGATGTGGGTCGGCATGGTTAACAGACGTGGTCGTCGTCTTTGAATCTTTTGAGCTTCTCTTATTCGCGGTTCTGTAAACTATAACGGATTTTTAAGAAGCTTTCGGGGACAATGTGAACGGTTTGAAAAATTCGAGGCAGTCATTCGTTGTCTTCGACGTATTCGGGAAAAGCTTCGTGGTTCAACTGAATGTTCGACGTCCAGGATGTTCAAGGGAGAAATAGGAGACTCGACACGGGTTGGAGCACGTCCGCCCGGAACATCTTATCGGATTACCCGCACCTCCCTCTCGTCTCGTCCCATCCTAGTTCGCGCAAAGTTATCACAAGTGGTGATAGTTAGTTTGCGGAAAGGCAGCGGGCGTCACGGTTGCCAGCGTATAGCGCTTGCTTACGGCTGCGCTAACTTTGTGCACTTCGTTTGACTCCATACATAAAAATTGACACATTGCGCGTTTGTTGCTGTTCTTCCGCCGTGCTTCTCCGGTCGTCTTGACTTTGTCCCTCTGAGTCGCTCGGTCACTCGGATCCGCAAGTTCCGACCAGAAATCAGGATTTTTCCCCGTTACAGTCAAACTAACTCAACTGATAATAAATTATATATACATTGTTATTACTACGGAGATCCATTAATTTCGACGGAATATATCGCATAATATTCATCTACGTATTCGTACACAATCTATCAAATAACTCTATTCCTATTGTATTAGATTCTCCTATTTTAGCGTCTCTATGTATCAACGTCAGTGTAAGCCGCGTATTCAACTCGACAACAACAATAATAATAACAAAGTGGTTCCAAAATAATTTAGGGGCGATTTCTAGATTAATTGGATCACCGGAAAGAGATAGAGGACGGATTAAATCCCTTGTGAAGCAAACAATACAGATGCGCAGCGCGTGCGAAGTCGATGGTGTCTCTGTAATCCACGAAAACGTTGATACGTTACAGAACTTGGTGCTGAGTGTGAAAGAGACTGAGAGAAAGGGAGAGAGAGAGAGAGAGAGAAAGAGAGAGATGTTTCGTAGCCAGGAATTATTTTAGCAGCACGAGTTACCGAGACATGTTGACACAACCGAGGATTTAAGCACTCGAGACCCGTGCCTCGCGGCTGTCGACATGGGATTGTATTCTGAGACATAGATACCAGCGATGAGGACGAGGACAACGCCGCTGAGAAGGCAGAATAGCCATTAAGACTTCGTATAAACAGCTCGGTGTGCTCGGTTCGCGGCTTAGAGCAACGTCGGGCATCGCGACTTCTCCAGCGTGATCGTTAATCGCGTCGTACCACCGAATCTTCTTCGCTCGCTTCGGAATCACGATCGTTCCGTCAAGCAGGAAAACAATGGGAACACGTGTTTCAATTCCGTTGACTTTCTCGACTAATTTTACGCTCTAATCTCGGAATCCCCGACGAATTTAAAACCGCATTTTGGAACTTTGTTACCGACGATATTTCCACTTTTAGAATCCGCATACGTTCGCGTTTTATGAATCGGCATTTTCTAGAGACGCCAATTTACGGCACAAAGTAAGATAAACCGTTTTGCCACATCTCAGGGAATAAAATTACTCGATCACTTTAATATCTATTGGATCGTTTCGTCAGATAGGCGTATGATGATCGATCGTTAATTTTTCCCGAGCCGTCGTATTCGTATCCAGATGAACAGCAGGTAAAAAATTGTACATTTATTCTGATACATCAATGTCGCGCTTAACACGTTTAGTTTTTACCATTGATACGTGCCATCGCCTGTCGTTGAACACGATGCGCGGTTTCGCGTTTCCTCTTTACGCGAAGTCACGAGCTGTCGAGCGACCGCAGTAAATTCTCATCTTACTATCTCGCAAGTACGATCGAGTATCGTCGCTCGAAATGTCACTGATATCGATGTGTCGGGAGGATTTACGGCCCTCGTTTATTCCTCTTCCGTTCTCGCGCGCATTGTTATGGCCGGAAGGCGGAGGAACAAGTGCCGTAAAAATAATGACATAAAAGTAGCTTCCTCGAGCGATCGAATCGTATTTTTTTCCCGCCCTTCATCCGATACGTTAATTGAATGGTTGAAGGTTTACGATCATCTCGTCCACAATTGAAATCATGAAAATTTACGAGCGATAAATCCAACAGTGTAGATTTTGATAAAACAATGCAGTTTTATTATTAATAATTCGAAACAAAGTGTTAAACAAAGTATGCCTCCAGAAATGTTCCGTCAAAATCTGTAACACAATTACCGAAATTGGACTCCTAAGACTCATTTAATTTATGTTAATTAAAAGATACTAATTAATCTCAATAAATTAAAATGATATAAAAAATTAATACATACATACTACACTGAGAAAAATTTCTGGTTGAAAATGAACGAATCAGAAGATTCTAATCATTAATTAGAATTCTGTTTATACATCTCAACTAGAATTATAATAGATTCAATCAGAAAATTCTGATTTGTCCATTTTCAACCTGAATTCCAGTTAATACAATCAGACTTTTTCCTGCAGTGTAAGTGTATAGTTTAGTAAAAATAATTCAAAGCAGAGAAGCAAAGAAAATTGAATTGTTTGACATTTTTTACAAAGAAATTTATATTTAAGTGGTAATAGTCCCATTTCAACTCCGAAGGGTTAATATAACTAAATAACTCATAACTATCATCGTTTAATATTTTTACTTCACATCCTTTTTATAGTAATCTATAGTAATTTTCAAAATAACACCAGGCAATGGGGTGCTGTTGGAAAATTTCTTGGTACGCGAACTATTTTCTTTGTAATATCCACATACAAAAAGATGTCCTTTTTAGAGTTGAGAAACAAACTTGGCCAGCGACGAAGATAACACCGAGTCTCATTAACGAGTTATGGCCTTTTTCCATCTGCTCCGTCAAATTTGCTCCGTGTAGCTTAGCATGTTATTGTCGTCGGTTCTTTAAACGGTCTTAAAAAAAACTTTCCCTATATACTATGGGCGCAAAGTTACGACGCCCATAATCTTGCCTCTGTTTTCGCAGTACTTTAAGAAATCGAGAAGTTTAATGCGACTTTGCGCGCGATGCTTTTTAGCGCAAAGTCTGTAATGCGCGAGAACAACTCGCGAAACAACACGCTACCATTTCTTTCTCTTCTTTTTTTTCTTTATCTCTGCTCACAGCCGATGCCGTCTCGTTTCCAGAGTACTTATGCCATGGAACTTGGGTGGAGAACGACACCGCTTACTTGGTGGCTAGTACCGACGTCGGGCGTTACTGCCTCGTTTACAGCGCGTCCGCCGCGACGACAGGAAGTCGTGAACTCTCGGTGACGGGCCATCTCGCTTCCTGTCCGAGAGCCTCTCATCGCTATCCAGTCTCGTGGCAGGTGAACCTCACGTCGTACGGTGAGCATTGTTAATTCCAAACTCGACACGTGACTCTACTCTCTCGCTGGAGCTTCGCTCTTTATGAAAAATTGTTTACACTAAACAAAAAATACTAAAATTTAATAAATATTTGTTTGAACAGTTCTAAGTAAATATTTACTAAATATAAGCATATATTTATTTGATACAAAAAACATTAATTTGATTTAACTATTTCTTTTTATTGAGTAAATGTTTACTTATGGTACTATTCAAAGAAATATGTGCTAAGATTTAGTAAATTTTTTTTCCAATGTACAATAATTCTTATTTTTTCTTTTTTATCAAGTATGATTATTAAATAATACTGCGATTTCGCATCCACACATCTGATAAGAAAAATTCTTCTCAATTTAATGAAATTTAAAAGTTTGAAAATACATGTTTGTACTGAGAAAAAGATACTTAAAAATTTATTTATGAGAATTAAAATCCGACCGTGTAAATGTACAACATACATACACGTTAGAGAGCGCCAATGATCGGTCAAAGTTAGATGTTATGAATACAATATATATTTTTTAATCTTTTTTTAATTTTTAAATTTATATTTATTTAATATATAAAATATAAAAATATATTTATTTCACCGAAATAAATTTTTATTTAAATACGGCTAAATAAAATTTTATTCCTGATTTCCTGCCAAATAAGTCATCTATTTTATTCTTTTATAATTAATGGGATGTAAAAAAATTATCGAAATGTGTTTACTGAGTTTTCTTAATTTTTAATGAAGTTATACAATTAATTATTGATCCAATGAATTTTTTTCGATGTTTCAGATTTCTCTCTTTTCTTATATTTTATTCTTTTATTTATATGTTTTATTCTTATATTTTATTAAGAGAAATACTGATTATGTTTTAGCTCAATGCGGTGACGTTTCGTCGGGGACCACGTGGGCACTTCGGGTGCCAATGTCTCTTCTCTACATCGTTTTCCTCGGAGCCCTTCTCGCCAGATACATCGCGAGGTGATGCCACTGAGCCGAGACGCGCCACACACCTGTGGCTATATAGTTGAAAGAACAAAGACTCTTATTGCGAAATATTTGCATTTATGGTGATTATATTTGACATTCTGGTACGGTGAGGTAAACTATAAATAATCAATCTTAGGATATAAGTGAATGCCTGCGTTATGACGCAGGGATAGATGAAGTGATTAAGAAAAATAAAAGAGACAAGTCGAAAACGGGTAAGGTATATATACATATAGAAATGCATGTGCCAGCCCCGCGAATGTGGCAGAGCCAAGTGTGGAAGCGAGGCTTTATGAATGTATATAAAATTCGATGCGTCCATGAAACGTGAACTTCCTACACACGTTCCGCTACGCGCAAGAGATCGATCGATAAATAATATTATTATTGAAGAAAAAGTCAAAAATTGAATTATCAAAACTCAACTATCTTATTGTAAAAAAGAATATAAAATTATGATACATATATAATTAATTAAAGAACATTTTATTATTGTACCGTTATTATACACATAACGGTATCTTTTCATAAATTGTAATTAAAAGAAAAACATTATTTGTTGCACGTGGTTTTATACGCAGCAGCTGCAAAATATTTCTCCTTCTCTCATTCAAATTGTTATTCAATTCGATACAACCGCAGTTGCAAAAATTGTCCTCTAATTACCATGCCCAACTGTGATCGCAGTGTGAAAATATGCCGTATTTATTGCCCTCGAATGAATATTTCGTTTGTGTTGCCTCTTTATATATTGGAGGATTTATTATGTTTTTCTATGAAAAAGGCGAAGCGAGAACGTGTTGCGTGGCGGATGTAGAGTCGGCGTGGATTTGTGTTATTGTATAACGGTGTACGTTTGCCTTTGAAGATGTAAGGAAAACCCAACGACGGCTTATTGAGTTTTGTTAAAAGAGCCGCTAGTTCCGTGACGTCGTAACCGGAAATAAAGGATGACACATTCGGGCTCTATGTGCTTTTATCTTTTATGGTGTTTCATTATAAAAGGTGTATTTATTTATTACGTTAACTTTATATATATATATATGTGTACATATATTAAAGTAAATAATCATGATTTCCTAACATTTACTTAATTTGACTCTGATTATTTCACTCTTTAATTTTGCTCTATAACAGCTAAATGATAAATTAAATAATTATATAAACAGCTAAAAATTGATAAATTCTTTGAGTGTGTACATACCAATACACAAACCTTTATTGAAAGCATATTTTCCATAAACTGTCTAATAATAACTAATTTCATGCTATGTAAATTCCTAACGCTTGTACTAGTCGTCGCGTGAGATGATGTAATAATAAAAGAAAATAATAAGGGTGCTGGGGCCAATATTATACGAAATGAGTGTTGCTCATAGATCGAAAGGAAGTAAAAGCGAGAGAAAGAGAGAGAAAGAAAGAATGAATGAGAGGACGAGAGAGAGAACGAGAGAAAGAAAGAAGTGATAGATCTATAACTACTTAGAAGTAGTTCCGCAGCCACTGCCACATTCGCTGGACGCGTTCGACGCTTCTAAGTGCGACGGGCGATACATGTACTTATTTAGGGAAGAATAAGAGAACTGTATGTGTGCCACGTCCAACCTGTAATTATACGCATTTCTGTTAAAAGCTTCGTGGCATGAATCGCTCTTTGCCGTGGAGGAGCCGCTGTAAAAAGAGAGAAATCATACGAACGATTATTACTGTAATTAATTACTACTATCGCTGTTAGTATAAGGGCAAAAAAATGGACTCTTGCTCCTAAAGAATTCTTCGCTTTCTTTTGTACACCTCGCGCGGGAGAGATATTTATCGAGAGGGAGCGTTTAGCCTGTAAGCACTCTGTAAAAACTACACTGATCCGCCATTTGAACTATAATCCTCGTGCGATGAATGTGAGGTCGATACTTACTGTACGCCACCGAGAATTTCTGTGAAGTGATCGGGAAATCTCGGTCGCGCGATCCTACTCCGAGTGTCGTAGTCGTAACGAAAATGTACTTGCAGCGCAAGGACTTGAAATGGTAACGATCTGAGATAAACATGAAATATCACTGCCATCAACCATTTTCTTTTATGAAATTAATTGAATAATGAAATAATAACTGAATAAACCATTGTTTATGTGATTGATGAAATAGAAATAATTACGCTAATAGTTAAAGATATTCAATTCTGGATTTTTAAAAATATCGAACAAATGTTCGGTTGATTAATTTAATATAATCACTTTTATTCACTCCAATATAATTCTTCACGATACTAATCGAAATGTCGAAAACATAAGATAAGAAAAGAAGTGCAATTTGAAGATAATATTTGATTCAATTATCAAATGATCATGCGACGGAAGATCATTTACATCAATACAACATATCGGTATCAAAAGAGAAAATAGGCAGTAGATTAGACTGCATGGGTTATAATAATAAATAACTTTCAGGTTTCTTCCGTAAAATTTAGCCATAATTTGATATATTCTGTGAAAGAGTCTGAAATAGTAAAATAGATACTGGATTTTTATGTGATTTTTTTAGAAATAATGATTCAATAAAGATATATATAGAGATGAACAAACAAAAATCTAGTGTTTATATAACGAATCTTTTGAGAAACTAACAAATTGTTTAATTTTAAGCTGACCGTGTATCGGATTTTGTTAAATACATTTTAAAACGTTGAGAGTTATTGTGTAAAAAGAAGAAAAAGTTACGAAATGACATTGTGATCGTTTGATACGATCCTCTAACAGAAACCACCATGTCGACAAAATATACATATTTTTTATCCGAAATATTTTACTTAAGAACTCTGCTCGCAGAGGACGGATAGCGAGAATGGTATTCGACTGCGTATTAATCGATTATACATATATTACTTGGGCAGTTAGATATACAAACAAATATATAAATATATAAATATATTATGCAACAATTCGATGTTGGCTATAAATTGTACACTATTCGATAAATATAAACCGAATGAAATATACGAACGAATTGATAAGGATATAGTCGACGATCGAAAGGATAGTAGAATATACTCGATCAGCATTCGATTTCTTCCTGCCGTGCTTAATCTTTCATCTTTTGCGGTACGCAAAAGATTATTTTTCTAAATTTTTTATTTACTATAGTCCTTTGCAATTATGTTCTTAATATGACAAAAATTGTAATTACTCCGATTTCTTTATTTACCGTATGCGAAGTTTCGCGAGAAAAATCCAAAACTTTAGAGAGTCGGCTGCTCTAACTACCATAAAAATACAGTTGTTATTTTTCCTTGAAACTGTGATCCCCAATATATACATTTATGTTCCGTACTCTCTGTCAATTAGTATCCTGTAATATAGCAAACTTGTATCATTCCATTCCTAACTAGCTTCGCTGGTATCAGTAAGCCATCATTTAAGTTGCAGCCCAGAATCGAAAAAGCTGCAGGAGATTATTTGTACATAGTAGACTCTAAAGGATTCGAATATACATATATCGTCGTGTATGTCGATATTCACTGTAAAAAGAAGAAGATGAAGGAGAGAGGATGAAAAAAGCGAACTGGAGGTGAATTCAATTTTATGATAGTGATCGCGAGAGTGTAGATTTCAGGGTATTTATATCGAAGGTTACATAGTTATACAAATATACAGAAATATTTAAAGATAAATTATATTGTGAGAAAAAAAATATATATATATACTATGTTTTTATTGTTGTGAAGTTAACCGGTGCGGCCGACGTCAGTCGCATTGACGAGATTAAGCTCTGTTCTTGTAACTAACGTAATCCATGTAGTTGCACTCGCAATCGCTATTAAGTTGCCTCTGTCATCGCGCAATAATATTCGAGTTTGCATCGAAGTAGCTTGTTTTTAAGCTTCCAAATCAAATGCGTAGGACGTGTTGCTATCACCAATCTTTCCTATTTTGTTCTTTTAATTTTCTTTTGTTTACATATTTACGAGTGGCGAAGAGATTCAAGGGAGAGATTTTCGCAAAACGACGACACGCAGAATGTACAATATATTTGAGAAGGATGTCTCGATATCATCCACGAGGGCGAACTAAGTGGCGGATACTCTAAGCGGTTAAATAATCCAGATGTTTATAACGTAACGCGGGAGGGCTTCTTTCTGCTCTCCTTATACAGTGTAATCGAACACGCGCACACGTCACTACCTGTAGGGCACGACACAACGACTATTACCGTCTCTAATTCTTAGCGAGTTACTTGGTAATTTTAATCGATTTTCATAAATGACGGGGCGAGAGCCGATAGAGCGCTACCAATTTATGAGCACGCGTCAAATTGATCTGCGAATCGAAGATGAATTTCTTCTATCGGCGTTTCGTTCTCGAGCCGGTGCACTCAGGTATATTTGTCCGGAGGAATTCGGCCAATTTCGTGCGGGAGGAACTTTTGTTTAACACGAATAAATCCGGATGTGTCGAGGCTTCCTCTTTCCGTTGTAGGATTTGCGACATGTGATCCCCAAGCAGAACAGCAAGTCACGATAATGTCAAAATAACATTAAAATGAATCGTTACTGATTAAAAATAACTTTAGTAATCATTTTGGAATCATTTTAATGTCATGATGACTTGTGTTCTACTTGAAATTCTGTCGAGGCATACGGCCCTGGCGGTTGATTATCGTTCGAGTTTCAATCGGAGGTAACCGCACGATTTGAGGCATCCCGATGTATAATAACGAGACGATAGATTAGGAATAATCGCACGGTGTAAAGCCCCTGATGCCTGGCACATTTTCTCTGAGGAATATCGGCTTTATTCTGTATGTACGTATGTGCGTGTGGGCGCGCGGCGTGAATTATCAAATAAGAAAATAGGGGAGACGGCGACAAAACTATTGTATGTATTATTGATAGGAGGAAAAAAATTACGGACAGTCGGACGGAAAATGTTCTGCACTGTAACACGCGCGATCTGATGGTACTACTACTCTAAAGTTCATCATGCTTGAAGGCTATCGAGAATCTATACATAACTGAGTGTTTTACTATTGGATTACAATATTACCTATTAATGTAAATGATAACTATTAATGTAAATGGTTTTTCATTATTGCATTATTATTATATTATAGATGTTATACTTAATAATATATTTACAAATAATTAAGACGACTCTGTGGTTTCAATCTACCCCATCTTTCCTCTATATCCTAAAATCAGTTGCGACTGAATTAAAAATTTATTAATCAGATTGATCTATACATTATCATTTAAAGTTATTAATCATAAAAAGTTAATTTATAAAAGATTGTTATTTTCTTTTTGTCTTGATGAATATACATCAATCTTGATGATGTTGCATTGTCAAACATTTTTATGTCTATACAGGTTTAAAAAACACTGTTGTGATTACTCAATT